AGCGCCTAGCTTCACTGACGGACAGACTGACAGACTATTATATATCTCATATTTGTTGACGTTTCAAAAGTACCAAATTATGGTTTAATTGAAATAAATGCTTTTGAGTTTGAGTTTAAGTTCAGATTTCAGGAGCATATAACTTTATTAAAATTCTAGCTGGGATGAGAAAACTACTATGTATAGACCTATCTTGTCATAAAATTACGCCGATTAATAATAACTTTGCATTTTTCGAGCAGCTCTCCAGATATTCTGTAATTTTGCGATAAAATTGCGGTCCACCATGTCATTGGTTGGTTATGAGAACGACCAATGACGGGCGAGAATTTGAATTCAAATTTACAGTTATAGAATAGCTCAGGTGGTGTGCATTTTGTTATGTTCTTAGTTCTACATTGCTTTTACAAACGGTTAATTAAACATACCCCTTTGTAAAGTTAACATTATATTTGCAGGTGGTCAGGTACGCGGATCTATACGCGGCGTCATTCCTGAACCTGATGTACTACCCGTTCTGCTACATGTTCCGCGCGCCCGCCATGCTCATGCCGCACGAGTCCACCGTCGCACACGAACAACGCTTCACCTTCGACAAACCCACCATAGACAGGTAACTTTATTCAATGCCACTCATAATTCTTGTACGATTTCTTTATGCATAAAATATTTTAGTGAAATTCAATATTATTGGTATTAATTACATGTTCTCATCCACGACACCAAAGCAAAAGGGAGCTCGTTGCAATAATTTTATTCGGTAATGAGGTCACCGTTTGGTATTCAGTTAGTGGCCTCATTAGCGAATGAATATGCGTCGTCAACACTGCGATATATTTAGAAGTACGGCGCATGTCCGCGCATCACTTTAGCATAGTGATGATTTACGACCTCCAATCTCCATTCTTTTGTATGTGCACTAATATTATAATTTATAATCTAGGTATTAAAACATGATTTCTATAAATCACTCTAGAACCTTGCGCTATTGTTCATATGCTGTTATTCAGTTATACATTATTTGTAACTACTATAGAAACCATAGTAAATAAAACAGATAAATTTAAAACATAGGAGCACCTATACACGCATGAGGCAACAAATCCACTTATGTAGAGACCTAAGGTCCACCGTGGACGGTCATTGTGAGATCTACATTATATCTAAAGACACTCATAATTGTTACATTAGATATTAACGCACTATTTTGACATTCTAGGAGCAGGACTTCTAGCGTGCCCCTTATCATCGGCGTAGGTGACCTTCCCGAAGAGATGTCCAGCGGTTCGTCAAACGAAGCCATTGTCAAGGACAGGCAAAAAGAGGGCGGCGTAACCGTAAGTTAATGCGATTATTTTATTCACGGAGGTTTGACTAAAATAATTAATAAAGGGTTCCAGGAACAGATATTATAACTATTCAGATATTGACTGCACGGTTGGTTCGGTGGCTGGGCAACCGGCTGCCGTGCAACGTGTCGCGGGTTTGATTCCCGCACGGAACAACACTTTGTGTGATCCACAAATTGTTGTTTCGGGTCTGGGTGTCATGTGTATGTGAACTTGTATGTTTGTAAACGCACCCACGACACAGGAGAAAATCCTAATGTGGGGCAACGTTTTAATAAAATAAAAAAAAAATTATAAAGATTTTTCAATATTCCAGTTCCAGTCAACATCAGTGCCGCACATGCGTCCAGAGACCCCGCGCCAACTGACGCACACGCACGACGAAGACTGTTCAGACGACGAAGAAGTCACCAAGACTGCGCAAACTAAATAATTCTTTCAAAGTTTTTCTCGCACCTACATATAATACATATAATGAACATATTATTCCATATTAATTTCTGCGATCACCACGGTCGGTTTACAATAATAATGTAAAGTTACTGATCGTACCGTGTCGTCGCGTTCCGAGATCGAAGGTTTTTATAAATCATTTAATTTGATTATAAAACGAAAGTAGTGCCTAAATTGTATTTATATGTTTAAACTACATGATTGAGCAATCAATGGCATGTTCAGTTTAAGCACTAGTGCAAGCGAGTCTGTACGTCGATATGAAACTACTAATATTGAAGTATTAGAATGGGTGAAGTGAAAAATGTCTTACAAATTGATATTAATTAATTTATAAGTAATTTTTACTATAGCAGTTTCCAGTCGTAATTTGATTAAATGAGGCTTTGATTATTATGGAGACGAATTTTATTATACTTTTGTTTTGTTGAATATATTTTTAAATGGTTTTTATTATACTATATGAATATGATAAATCTTTTCATTATAATACTTGCAATTATTTAGATTTACCTTATTTACAGTGTTATTCGTCTAGAGATTGCAAAAATGCACAATATAATGAAGTTATTTTTTTGAAATTATTGAATTGTTATGATTTTATTTATTTGTTATCACTTTCTAGGTAGGTGTCTATGAATCAATAAATTTTCAATCTTCAAACCAGAAAATGTAACTAGGAAGGTCTTTTTCTCCATGATCTAGTGCAGTAAAAGTTTAACAAAGTCAATATAATGTCCATTCGTCGGCTGTGTATTTATCGTAACAATTTGATATATAGGTACGTCTGTTTTGCATGTTAATATAGTCATATGAATGACTCTTGGCGAAGGTGAGGTGCGATGCGGTTTGTGTTAGTATTTTCGTTTCGGTCTTTTTTTGCTTATTACCTTCGTAATAATTTTTCGTCAGATGCTTATAGTCAGCAACATTTCTAGCTCATGGTACAATCGCAGCGAACCGACCGCTTGATTAGTTAATAAGTATATTGATTACCACGAACCGCACCGTACCATGCCCTGCGCAAAGAGTTTGTCTGTTTACGAAATACTTTTGAGAATAGCTTTTAGTTATTCCAACAATGCATTACTTCAAAATAGATTGGAATAAAACAATTTATTAAATTCGTGTATTTAATTTAATATACATTCCAGTTTACAATAACAGGTCTTCCAAGTACTCCTCAAACTCATCCTCCCGCGACTTCTCCTCGATTTCTTCTGAACCTATTAAATAGTACAATATAATTTATTAAAATACATTGTAAAAATTATGTGGCCAAGTACCTACAACATAAACTAAATCAACTGAGACCTTCAAACGTAACAGAAGCCAAGTTACTTCTTGCCAGTTTGCTATTTCATTACAAATTGGCTTGTTTTCACAAGTAAAATAAAAGATTTAACCAGCATTTTGTGAGACAAGAAGCATTTCTTAAGAATCAAGACAACTATATTTAGGAATAAATGTGGATGGACCATTTATTCCGCTAGATCTGGGTGCAAAAATGCTTACACAACACTGGATACAGGAGAAAACCCTATTGTCAGGGGGAGGGGAGAAGCAACTTTAAAAATAATATGAGACACCCAAGTCAATAAAGAACGTAAAAAGTATTACAAGTTAAAATTTGACCGCCTCAGTCAGTTATGGCCGATGAACAAAATGTATTCATAGAAAAAACGTATTCTTGGCTATGGCTAACAGTGTCTATGGCTGATTAGGGCTTCTCTTCGGCTATTGCCGACCGTGGTAGCCAAAATATTTAGAAATAGCAAAGGGCGTCATTGCCAAAAAGAACGAAGTTATAATACAAACCTTTCTTCCATAGAGCTGCTTCATCATCTTCTGGAACTGTGGCTTCAGCTGAAGTGGAAGCCTCTAAGGCACCTTCTGGAGTGCCAGGGCATTGGTCCTCGTCACCATTTTCGTCCTTGTCTGGTTTTTTAGCCTTTTTTGTTTTCTTCTGACTTTTCTTAAGCCTTTTTACTTCTCGTTTCTTTGATCGATAGTTTAATAGCTTTGAACATTCTGGACACAGACCTAATTAAAGAGATGGATCTGTTAGATATTTGCTAGAAGTGTCTGCCTATATACAACCACAGAAATCGGTACGCTATGACTGGGCAGGAAATAAGGTGACAAATCTGCAACCTAGTATCTGGCTTATACTAAGCTCTCCCCCAGTGTTACATGTACGTGCATTGTACAACAGCCAATTGACGTAATTACTTCACATCCGCCTCCACAGGCTGACCGGTCAAGTAGGTACCTACCTATTACCTACTAAAGATATACCTTCAGTAACATATATTTAAGGGTTAGTAAGGATAATGCTGTACAATGGTTTATGTCGGCTGTATAAACGTTCTACACGTGACGGTCTCTACGCCTAATGCTGACTTTTACCTTTCTGTAGGTATTTCGGTACTTCTCAAAACAAATATATTTGTTCGATACATAGAACAAGCGTATTATCATATCTACCAACAATATACAAATGGGATATTAACTAATTTTCTTTAAAAAAAGTACCTAATAGGTAGATAGATAGGTATTACTCATTGTTGTCACATATCCTCAACAATTGTATGAAATCCTTCGTCCCTTTTTATTTGTACTGAGGGGCAGAGAGTCATGCGTTGCAAATTCGTAACGCTCATTATTTTTGGACGCAAGGTTCAATCATTAGCGATTGTAAGAGGAAGGTAGGTAGGTTTGAGTAAGTATTTAATTCAAGCTGCAAGCTGCTATGTAGGTAATGTAGATAAACTAAGTAGCACTTATTGGGCACAAAAAAATTTGTTTTTGATTCTGAATTTCTCCCAGATTAAAAAATACTGTATAAATGGACATATAAGTGTCCTGTATTCTATTTAAATGCGTGTTGTGACAATGCGTATTGCGCAGGTACCTACCTACTTACATACAATTATGGTTAAATACTAACAGATTGTTTAATAGCTTTAGTGTAACATGCAATCAATTAATAAAAACCTGGCTCAAAATCCATTGCACTACATTGGTAGTTTATTTATGTAATAAAGTAACTGTAATGAAATAATAATAAGGCGAAGGCAATGTAGAGGTCATGACTCAACTACAATATTCGTTTAAATAGAATACTCTTATGTAGTAATTTGACACAGGTATCGAACCAATTTATTGTCTTCCATTGTAGGTTACTGTGGGTAGGTAATAAAATATTGCAGTATCGGACTTACGAAGCTTTACGAGAGCATTTTTCTTCTCGTTATCTTCCATGTAAGCGAAGTTGACCTCCCAGGACTTGAGATCGCCATCATTGTTGCACACCTTATTGCCACATTGAAACTGACCTTTCCCCAGTACTACTTCTTTCTCCACACGCCAGCGGAGTGCTACCTAGTAGGTATTTCATACATACTTTATATGAAAATTTCGGTATCTACTAAACTAGGAGCATATTCTAGTGGGTAAGTACTTAACAATATTTGCCTCAACCATAAAAGCGAATATATATCGCAAAGCACATGACTCAAACAAAGTATTCTTATTGATGAAGACGTCTTCTGATTGATTACATAACGTACCTACCTACTTGACCTATCAGAGCATCCTATTAGTTTACAAATTATAATTGGAAGTGCATAGTTTGAATTACCTACGATATGGGCTATAGTACTTAGGTAGGCGTTGTGTTTTTAAGCAGCAAAATGGGAACCTACATAATTAGAAAGAATTATTATTTTGGAACCTACAAAAAAAAAAAAAAAGTAATAAATACGGATCTTAGATAAAACTTATCTAAAATACTATCATTAAAACCGTGAGAATGAAGCGTGCCTTCTTGTCATTGATTTTGTGAGACAACTGGGGATCGGCGGCTGCGGCACGAATGGCCAGATGTGCGTTACTGTGTATCAATGCGGGTGAATGTATAGAGCTATATTTAGCCTACAGAAAGGCAGCACGGCCTTTGTTGCACTCCCTATACAACAACGACACAAAAGGTCTCGAGCAAAAAATGAGTTACATAAGGGACCGTCCCCATCTCATACAGCCATGTTGTGTTAGGGGAGAACCTTTATCAGATATTTCAATGTGACCTTTGGACCCGTTAGAAGGCAGACTTAATTTGGTTCAATGTAATATTCAAGAACGGGAACTTGCGATAAATCTCTTCCAATGCGTTTATTAGACCTATGAATCCAAGTTTTAATATGTGGAATAATACAATATTCCTTGTGTTGTCGGACTTACTTTGTTCTCTTTATATCTGCTTAAATCGCAAATGCAATATTCTTTGAATAGTTTATCGCAGTACTTTTTAGCTAGTTGCTTCTCCCAAGTATCAGCAACGTCATCTTCGTTCCATAAAAATTTGTAATTCTCTCTTATAATGTCAAGGTCAGTTCTATCTCTGGAAGCGTCCCGTTTCAATGTTCCGGTAGAGCCCTTCGTATTGAGACAATACACATTAACTAAGTATTTATGTAATTCATACGGATTAAGGTTACGTAACCTTGCAGACATCTTTAGTGCAACCTAGAACAAAGGGAAAAATATTATTTAATTCTGAAATAAAACAGAACTTGCAACAAACAACTCTTTAATAAAATCGCAATTATTATTACACATTTTCATAAAATATTTTTAATTTATATATCAAACGGAACTTAATCTAATTGTCATGATGAGTTTTTAACAAGGTGCATTTTTGATAAATAGAACATTGTAAATTGTAATTATAAACAGTATGAATAAATAATTGATTTTGTGCACAAGTTTATACCTACTCTGAATATTATCGTCAGTCTTGTAGATTTTGCGTTTTTATTTCATTTGGCTCAATATCGATTTCTTAAACTACAAACAAGTCATGCAAATTTAAATACTTAAAACATTAAATATAATATATAATAAATATATATATGTTTATTGTCTATTTTAGTTAAAATTAACCTAGACAATATAGTAAGGCATTATATTACAACCAGTATATGAAATCCAAGTGGCACAAAATAAGTTAATAGCCTTTGGTTTTATAGCCAATTATAAAATATGACAGTACATTATTCTTTGGGATTTTTGTTACTTATTTTGGTCTAAAAGTCTTATAGCAAAGGACCTTGTCTATCAAATAGCAAACTAATTAACTAATGTTCCTAAACAGTTACAAATAAATATGTGCACTGTTAAACATTTGTGATGTTTATTGAAGGTCTCATTTCATAAACCTTAACTTATGTATCATTAAAGTTGTTCATTATCTTATCTAATATATTAGGAGACCAATAAGGAAATACAGAGTAAATTCCTTAAACTTCATTCAAAGTTGGAAAATAGTAACTTAATAGTTACCTACAGATTTTCAAATATTAAATCTATTAATTCTAAATAATTAAATTATTTGGTATACTTGTATTTATAATAATTATTATAAAGAATAGGCACATTAAAAATGTTATTGCTTTGGTTACAACACAGTACAGTAATTAAAATCACTTGAAATACTTATCTAAAAATTTGGCAAAGTTTTCATCAACTGGTGGTTTAGTACCATACCTCATGTATAATATGTATAATTATGTAGTAAGGGAGCCCATAATGTTAAATTGGTATTTACTTGATCTTAGTAAGGACATGTTGGCCACAGGGATTTTGAAGACATGATAATATTCCCCTTAAATTCAAGTTAGGTATAAAAAGAAACCTAATAGTTGTTTATTTATCGATTTTTCATTGTAACATTCGCGAGTGTCAGGTATAGATACTGTATATAGGTGTGGCGCCATGCTAGTACATCTGGCATTGGTTAAATACAAAGAGCTAAAGATGTGATCGAGTGGTAGGGTAAATACCCAACCGTACATAAATAATATGAAGCTTAAAGTTCTTAAAATATAAACTGGCTAAGAGTTAATGGTTTAATAGATAATCCTCCTATGTCCATCTGTCCTGTTTGAGTAAACACCAAAATCCCATAATGGTCATCCCTACCAATAAGCTTACAAAAATAATTGGTGATATCTTTTCAAAGGCCTCATAATTGAATAAACAACATGTTTGCCTTTATCTAATGTAAACAGTACAATAAGGCTATCGGACCTTTGGACATTCCACCTACATAAATATCCATATATTAAAATATCACTTTATCATATCTAAAAGGCAACATTGGATTGAGATATGTGTGACCTTATTGTAGAGCACCTGCAAATACATTTTACTAATTCACTAGTATTAACCCAAACATACAGTTGAAAATAATATAAATAAAAAAATTGCAAGCAATTACAGCAGCACACATTGAGTGTGTTAAAACACTCACATAAACACAGAAACACACCATAATGACTAAAATATGAACTAGATCATGATAGGTTTAAATTTAGTATAAACAATGTAAAAGTTCTATTCTTAACAAACATAATATTATAACTAATTTTTTGGCAATAAGAGAATCAGAAATTATAGCTTGTTGAAAAGTAATAACTACAATGTTTTTGGCAACAGAATTGACCAGACATTATTGACAATTTTGATTTCAGAATGCAATTGAATTGCATGTTATATTATGACATTGTTCACAGTTCTATATTCTCATTTAATTTTGTCGAAAACATTTTATCCATGAGTTTTCTCATGTTTCTTCATATTATCTGAGCGAGTGAAGGCTTTGTCACAAACTCCACAGTAATAGGACTTTTGTTTTGTGTGCACTGTCATGTGCCGGGATAGTTCACTTTTGGTTACAAATTTCTTTTCACATACAGTACATGCATGCTTTCTTACATTGAGATGGAATTTCATATGTATGGAAAGTGAACTCGACTGAGAGAATGCCTTATGGCAAAGTTCACAAACAAATGGACGCTCACCCGTATGTTTACGTAAATGATTCATAAATCCTGTTTTTGTGTAGTCTTTTTGACAAAGGTGACAAAAGCTTGACTTGGATTCCAACATTCCAGGAAAGTGGCTGCTTAGGTGTTTCCTGAGGTCCCAGGAGCTTGGAAACTTTTCTGAGCACACATGACAAGGGTACTTTTTTTCTTCGGTGGGTTTAGCACTACATTTGTGTGAGGCCAGAGAATTTTCGTTAGAAAACATTTGGTTACATTGGTTGCAAGTATGACTAGCCTCAGAGTCAGTAGATAAAGTGACCTCCAAATAGTTTTCAATAGACATAACATTACCATTTGAACTATCAGCGTCATCGATTTGGATTTGTGTCATATGCTCCCTTGAAGAAATATCTTTAGTATCAATCTTTTCGACATATTCTCTGTAATCTAAAGACTCTTTGCCTGTATTGTTATTGTCGGGCTCTATGAGTCGTAAAACGGGTGATTCACTTTGTTCCCTATCGGGGGACGTAGTTTTTTCATTGTCGGAATGATCGGGTCTGGAGGACACATTATTATCAGACTCCCAATCATTTTCGACTATTTCTACATCCGAATCAGAATCTTCAGCGCTTGAAACAGTATTGTTGACTAAGTGGAATCCGATATCATCAAAGCGTAGTACATTTGGTGGAAGTTTAACCCCGACGATAGCCTGAATCGCCTGCCATGAAAGCTCCTGGGGGTTGTTCTGCATATTAGATCGCACTACTCTAACCTACAAACGAGTATACATCAATTACTGGTTGATACACTTACAAGCCACTAACTACCAAAACAAAGAATAAAAATATAAAATATTTACCTTTTATGTTCACGATCGATAATATTTTAATAATTATTCAGATGACACCTTTGATTTCTACATCTAAAAATATTATGCACTTCTCTCTCTTTTGATGAATTTATGGTAAACTTTTTACTGTTTATTTTATTCCTGTAACTCTATGGTTTGGCTAATAGATGCCCATAAAACATCCGATATTACTACGAACTAAATACCAAGTACTCCAATTATGTTACAATATTTTGATTCATAATTAAACATAATAATTTTTATAGATATAAATTATTCCTAAAAAGTGTAAACTATTTCCGTATTTATCGAATTATATCAGATAAATAATAGGGCCGCCTGCAGCACTGTTTCTGGGTCTCACTTGGTCTCACTGAAAGTGTCACTTGCTGACATATGTCAATATTGTCAATTTGTCATATCCAAATGACATGGCGCGAAATAAAACAGCTAATGGCATTCTGTTCCATGAATTTAAAGTTTATTATTATTTATATTTAAGAACTATCACAGTAACTGAATAAGGTTTGGTAATTAGGAAATTTTTTAGATTTACTTGCTTAAATCATCCAATATGATAAAATCATTGCAAGAACTTCAAGATTACATAAAATCGAAGGATAATTTTACAAATTTTACAAACTCTTCAGTTGTTCCTGATGTGTGTAAAACTGAACCGTGTATGCTTGGTGTTGACGAAGCTGGACGAGGACCTGTTTTAGGTAAATTAATAACAGTACCACTGTGATCATAGATCATTCCGTAACACTAGTTTCTCTGACACCAAGGAATAGAGGCCTTGTTCACCAGTCACCACTTTCATAATTATTAAATAAGTACCTAATAAATGTTGCACTAAGTTCTTACTCTTATGTTCATACAAATAACGTTCAGTGTTCCAATTTATCTGGTAGATACCTAGTAGATACTGGCTATTGAGAGTATGTGAAACTATGTTGTTATATTCTTCATTATAAATTGAACCTATTGTAAAGTTTACCACTACAGTTATACCATTTCTATATACTATGTATGGCTAAGACAAAATTAAATTGAAAGAGTGTACTTTCCCTTACAATGTAATAGAAAACTCACAATAAAAAAATATTTATTTCATTCATACACCTAATAATTCAGCTTATTCCAATGTTAAGTTATATTTCTTTACATATTTAACTCCAATGTGGAACTTAATAAAAGTAATGTAACTCTAAATATGAAATTATAACCATGCTATAACAATTAGTCAACCTGGTGATATTCAATATGCCTTTGTATTGCTTCAATACATCTTGGTTGCATAATGTTATATATGGCAAATAATCCACTATTATCTTTCCTAGGTCCTATGGTATATGGCATAGCTTACTGCCCAGTAAACCAAACCAAAGTACTACAAGATCTTGGGTGTGCTGATTCCAAGGCTTTGACAGAAGAAAAACGCGATGACATATTTACTAAAATGATAACTGAAGAAGATTCACTGAACAATGTAGGATGGATTGCTGATGTCATTTCTCCAAATTACATTTCAAACTCTATGTATAGACGGGCAAAACATTCTTTGAATGAGGTGAGTTTATTAGAGTCATACTAAATTTATAATAATTAGAAATTAGCAATGCTCCTTATGGGCAGATATGAGCCCCTAGCTTAACATTTGTTTATACAAAAGATACTACTTTCGTTACATTCATATTCACAACGAAACATTGGAAGTAAGGCCTATAATGGTCTAAGTGGATAGCGGTCACTAGTGACCACTTGGATCTTGACCAGCAAGAGTGGCTTGAAACCAATTAAATTCCCAAGACACACAATTAGATAAAAAAGCAGTTAAATATGTAACTAACAATTTTATTGTTTGCTCTATTTATCTTGAAAATTTGATTTAAATATGTTCTTCTAATGTTCCAGGTGTCAATGAACTCTGCAATAGCATTAATAAAGAAGGCAGCTGAGAGTGGCGCCAACATAACTGAAGTGTATGTGGACACTGTTGGTCCACCAGAGAAGTACCAAGCAAAGTTATCTGAAATCTTTCCTAATTACAAGATAACTGTGAGTTGATATGATGTATTTTGGCATTTCCAATTCCTCAATATTATTACTTTCTCAAGATTTTATGAAATTGTAAAATATTATCTCTAGAAGCATAAAACACTGTAGTCATGTAGGAAGACAATGATTTCTTGATGTTAAATTGATAATTATGTACTAAGTTGGGACATATCGTTGGGACTGCAACTGAAATGAACTATAATAAAGAACAACACTCAATCTTAATCTATTATTCCTTAGCTTTCTAAAATCAATTAATCAAGCCAGTAATAAAACTGGATTGTAAATGTATTAAATCCTTTTTTAGGTAGCAAAGAAAGCTGATTCGTTATACCCCATAGTATCTGCAGCCAGTATCGTGGCAAAGGTAACAAGAGATCATGCCTTGAAGGTATGGAAATTCCTTGAAGGATTGGACATAGACCAGCCAGGATTTGGAAGTGGATATCCAGGAGGTAAATACAAATAGTCGTAGTACAAAAACATAAGTAATATAACACAATTTTTTTAACAGTTATGTTTTGAGTCCCATATAGAGCCGTATTATCTCAAAAGCAAACTAGGCAAGTGCCTAGGGTACCAGGTTATAGAGGAGCACTGCGAGACAGGCATGCGCAATAGCACAAAGAGTGGCACCATAAAAAATTTGGAGCACCTATGAGGTGCTTACCTAGGGTGCTTTTTAGGCTTAATATGCCTTTGGTCCCATGTGAGCCTCAATATCAGTTCATGCTACTGTAGCGATATTTATAGAAAAAAATGAAAAAACCACAATAGTATTTAGTCCCATCTGGGAATTATAGTTGTTGCTTGGTAATCAGATTTGTAAACCCATTCGACTAATGAGGCAGTTAAACGACTAGCCGGACCACGGTCGACCTACATAGCAAAAACTTTTTTATTTCAGATCCAGTAACAAAAAAGTTTATTCGTGAACAAATAGACCATGTGTTTGGATACCCAATGTTGGTAAGGTTCAGTTGGTCTACAGCTGAACTTATGCTGCAGGAGAAGGCCGCCACATGCACTTTTGAAGATATAGACGAGCAAGGCTCTAAGAAATCGAACACTAAATCAATCAGCTCATTTTTTGCTAAACCAGATGAAGACAAACCTAGGAAACGACACAAGTTCTTTGAAGAAAGACATTTGTCTGTTGGTAATCCTTTTGAATGATAATTTAGTGGACATAGGAATAAATAGACATTTTTTTTAAATTTGCTGTTTTTTATCACTGTATGGATTTCCTTTTGGGCTTCTGTTTATCTTATTAGATTCTTATCAATTTTTATATTTGTATCACATTTGAATTTAGATTATCTTTTTACTAGTTTTTCATTGCGGTTTCACAGTTGTGCACTGTGTAACATTTTAAAAATATATTTGTCAGACGCGAAAATAACGTGGAATTGTTATACAATGAGATTTTCTTTCAAATTCAATTAAACATTCTACACACAGTACTATGTTGTAGCATCCTACGTAGGCATCAAACTATTCTTATTCCGACAGTACATTTAAATTGGCGCCTACGTTAAATCACGACAACCTCAACCAATCAATAAATATTACATGAACACACCTTTTTCACTTGTGCATTTTTGACCTACCTCGGTTGTGTGTTCGTAAACTTGACTGTCGAATACAAGATCTTAGGTTGGGTCGAGACCCGGTACGGGAAAGATAATAATCGCCTGGTTGCAAATTTGAATATGTACTTACTATGATTAAATGAATTTAAATGTACATTTGTTAAAGTGCTTATTTGAAATGATTTCGCAATAGATATAACTATATATGGGATCGTATATGAAGTATTGTTGGATTGTCTGATCCCTAATAACCGCTCAGGGTTGATATTTTGTCAACCATATTGTTCATTCCCTGTTTTGCTGGTATTGCTATTGCAACCACGAATATGAAAATGTGCACGACTTAGTAAACTGAAAAGGTCTTTAGTTTCGTTTAACTTAGCAAGTGAAAATGACACACGTGTGCATTGCTGATCAGTAGAAATCGGCAACTATTTAAATACAATTTATGCTGTCGTCGTATATTTTACCATACAACTTGTATTTCATCATTTTGGATTCCATCCCAACATGTTCGCATGTCGGAAATGTTGCCAAAAATTCATTGTAACGTGCTTTGAAAGTTAGATGTAAAATTGTATAAGTACCAAAATTTTTCTTTTCATTTTTTGACCACATTAAGCCATTAGAAAGTTCTTTACATCTATGAATTGAATCCAAGACCTTTGTGTTCGGCGGTCAAACAATAAATAATATGACACAGAAAACATATTTTTTCTTAGATTAAAAAAAGTATTTAGGTCAATATACACAGACTAACTACACACTTAAGATTATCAAAATACGATTGATGACCAGCGTACCTACTTAAAAAAAAACTACGTTGACATTTTAAGTCTCTTATAAATCCATCGAAATCGCTTGCGAATACACAGCACCTAATAAAAGCAGAGACATAATAGCTGTTTGTTTGACCTGTCGTGTTAATACTAGGTTTGTATATGCAAGCAGTGCATGATGTACTGTAATGAATCGCTACTCTTATTTACCTTGCATTAACCTCTAGCCCAGTCAGTGTACTGAATGGGTATATTAATGATATGATAAGCACCTGATAGTATCTATTTATTAGATACATTAGGTATGTTGGAACTAAGTAGGAGAAATTGAGTTATTAAGGTCGCAAGTGCGACTGCCGGGCAAGGGGTCTCGGGTTTGATTCCCGGGTCGGGGAAAATATTACTGGGTTTTTAAAAAATCTCAGTAGTAGCACGAAGTCACCCCCTATTACATGGGACTCATAACATAAATAGTGAAAAGTGGGTGTTACATTGTACAGCGGCGTTAAGTGCCGTAATGTGCACCTCTGCCTATCCCATCAGGGATATAAGGTGTGATGTTATAATATTATTAAGATAGACTTGCAGTTTGGATGATAATTTTTTTTATTGTAGTTTTTATTTGAAAAACAAACATTTATAATTTCTTTTCTCTAGTCATGTACATAGGGGAGGTTTCTT